TCAATTCTGTTACTGTATTTCTTCCGATCAATTCTATATTGCCTTTGTGACAACATATATTGTGGGGAGAACCTTTGTAAGCTGGAGAACATTTATGAGCACAGATCTATCTACATGTCTATTCTCATATCTTTTATGTCTGTATGGTTTTTTTTTTTGTACAGTGCTGTATGGTTTATACAGAACTTTTTTAATTTTTTAATATGAAAGCATAATTTACATACAGTAAAATTTATACATTTTAGTGTACAGTTCCGCGAGTTTGACAAGTACATACAATCTTGCAACCACCACAATTAAGATACAGAATATCATTCTTTCACCTACCAAAAATTCTTTTATACCATTTTGTAGTCAACCCCTTTCCCCAGGCCCTGGCAAACACTGATGTCAGCTGATCTATTTTTAAAAAAGCATCTGCCTTCCTTCTCGCCCCTCCCAAGGTTGAAGGAACCCTGGTGACAGTGATTAAGTGCTCAGCTGCTAACCAAAATTTGGCAGTTCAAATCCACCAGCTGCTCTGTGGGAGAAAGATGTGGGAGTCTGACAGCGTAAGAAATTCTATGGGGCAGTTCCATCCTGTCCTATGGAGTCGATCTGAGTCAGAATTGATCTCATAGCAATGGGTTTGATATTTTTTTGTCTGAAGGTTAACTGCTATGAAATTCTAGTACATGTCCAATTGATTATGCACTCTGAAGGTATTTTTCTTAGCTGTAGGGAAATATGTGGACTCCACTAACTTCCATATTTGAAATAGTCACTTTTTCTAACCTCATCTTGTCTTCTCTCTCTCGCTCTTTTTTTTTTTTTTTTTTGAAGCTAGTCTCTTCTCCTTTGTCTGGATTCCAAGTCATACCTTGTAGGCTGATCTTTCTGAAGTAGATACTAATAGCATTCCTGTTTTACAGATGAGAAAACAGAGGTACAGAAAAGTGGAGAAACCTGTCCAAGGACAGATAGTTGGTGAGCAGCAGTCCCAGACAGTCTGACACCAGAGCCTGCTCCCCTAACCAATAGTAATCTGTGCAGTCTTATTCACAATCCTACGACTGTCATCTGAAGAATCTTTTAAAATTCTAAACATTGAACTGAGCTATAGAGTTGTTGGTTAATAGGTTTATCGTTTGCCATCAAGCCGATTCCAACTCCTACTGACCCCCTAGGACAGAATAGAACTGCTAAAATAGAAGGGTTTCTAGGGTTATAGATCTTTATGGAAGTAGACTGCCTTATCTTTCTCCCACGTTAATAGGTAACAAATCAAACTCACTGCCATCAAGTCTAATTTGACTCACAGTGACTCCCTTTGTGTTTCCAAGGTGGTAAATCTTTATGGAAGTAGATTGCCCAATCTGCTTTCCCCAGAGTCACTGGTGGGTTTGAACCTCCAACCTTCTGATTAGTATCAAATGCCTTAGGCACTATGCCACAAGAGCTCCTTAAAAAAATATTGGTAACAGCATACCACCTCAACTTTCTCTTACAATTTCCAAACACAATCTATTATTATTGTTGTCACTATTTTTGGGAAAGATTATTCATTACATCTTTGAAATAAAGAAGTGATATTCTTAACCATAAAAGAAAAAACCCTTTCTATGTCATGTACAAACAGTCCTGATGGCACAAGTAGTTAAGTGCTCAGCTGCTAACTGAAAGGTTGGTAGTTTGAACCTAACCAGCAGGTCCATGAGAGAAAGACCTACTTCTGTAAAGATTATATATAGCAAGAGCACTCTATGGGGCAGTTCTACTCTGTTACATGGGGTTGTTGTGAGTGGAAAATCAACTCTATAGCACCTAAAAACATGTCATTTAAACACATATGCACATATGTCTATAGAAAGGCAATATAGACTCTGGAATCATGCCTAACGGACAGCATTGTTGTGGTTAGTTGCCTACCAGTCAATTCCAACTCATAGCAACCTCATGTGTGCAGAGTAGAACTCATCCATACCTAATCAATCCTTTAACTCCTCTTTTAAAACATTTTATTTTGAGTTAATATATATCCTAGGGGAATGTGTCTGTTTTATCCAGTTCCACTTACAATTGTGGGCATTTTCTTGCCCCCTGAGGGAAAGGTGTGTAGTGGGGAGGACCAAGAAGAGGTGAGGTGGAGGAACAGGCAGTTTGTCTTGCCCAGCAGGGTATCCTATCATCCATCACGGCCCTTCTTCTGATGCCCAGAAGGCAGAGTCACTTAGGAGCTGTATGAAAGCTTAAAATCAGAGGCCCTTGGTGTGTGTAAATAGGGCAGCCTGAAAGCAGGGCCCTTCCATTTCAGTCTTAATATGAGTCTAGAATCCATGCTAAATATATTTCAAAGTTGCCTTTTCTAACAGCACTTCCTCTAACCTTGATGCTGACCATATACCCTAAAGGAGACATTCTTTTTTGTTGAGGTCTGGCAGGTGCAGGGTATCACAGTTATTCCCAGTGGGGCTTTCCACTATGGTCAAACAGACGCAAGGTGTGCTAGCTTATACCCAAAGCATCTTTATACACAGCATTATTGATCAATCTTTACAGTGGACCCCTAGAAACAGATATGATTGAGAAAACTTTTTTTTTTTTTTTTAATCAGAGTACCTGAAAAACCTGTCCTGTCACTGTCCTGCGACCATCCTATAATAAACTGAAGAGCACATATACTTGCAGTTATATACCCCTAACCAATCATGTGGGAGTTCTGGTAGTGTAGTGCCTAAAGCACTTGACTGCTAACCAGAAAGCTGGCGGTTTAAACCCACAAGCCACTCCTCAGAAGGAAGGTTGGGCAATCTACTTCCGTAGTGATACTGCCTCGGCAACCCAAGGAGGGTTGTCTATGAGTTGGGTCCGACCTGATGGCACGTAACAACAACAACCAATCATGTAACACTACGTATGTTTTATCCTCCTAAACCACAATCAAAAACCAAACTCACTGCCGTCGAGTCGGATCCAACTCATAGTGACCCCTCCTTGGGTTTCTGAGGCAGTATCACTACAGAAGTAGATTGCCTATCATCCTTCCGAGGAGTGGCTGGTGGGTTTGAACCACCAACCTTCTGGTTAGCAGTCAAATGTCTTAGGCACTATACTACCAGAGCTCCCGTTATCTACCTATCCCTGCTAAAATTCCCACTTTTAGATATCCTGCCTTTGAATCCCCCGATAGTCTTTCAGCCAGTTATGATTTTGTAACTTTTAGTTCCTGTCCCAACTGAAACAAAAATGTTTCCTTCCTCACTGTCTGGCAGAATAGTCATCTTTGCTTTGTGAATTTGGATGTCTTCTCAGTCTGGACCATCTCTTTCTGTCAATAAACCTCTTTTGTTTTTACTTAAGCAGACTCTGTGATGTTGCTCTAGGACAGCTCTCACCCCAAATCTATCTGAGTGGGTGCATTAAGCCTCCTACATTTGAAGGCTCTGTAGTTGTGGCCTAGGATAAAGATGTTTTCTGTCTTGTAACATTTTAGATTTCTGACATATCTTTTCATTTCATTGTCATCAAAGCAATGCTACCAACCTTAGAAAGATAGCATATATGTTACTCTGTGCCAGGCAGGGTTCTAAGAGCTTCTGGTGGGTGAACTAATTTACTCTGCACAGATCCTGTGAGGTATGTACTACCGCTTATCTCATTTTGACAAACAAGGAATCTGAGACAGAGGGTAAGTAATTTGCCCAAGGCCACATGGGTAGTAAATGGTGGCATCAGAGCCTGGTGGGGGCCCCAGAAAGTCTCACTGCACAGTCACTGCTCTAATCTTTTTCAGAGGCTGAGCTGATGGTCCTCAGGCCCCTGATTTAGACAGTAGCAGCAAGTCTTCCTTCCATGGAAGACTCGGTCCCATCATTTCAAAAAATGTGGGAGCAATAGAAACAATGGTTCTTCATTCCTTGGAATGCAACGCTTCTGCCTCCTGGAAGTAGAATAAAGGCTCACGTACAAAATTTCAAAACAAACTGTTGCTGTTATGTGTCATCAAGTTAATTTTTGATTCATAGTGACCTCATGTGACAGAGTAGAACTACCCCCAAAGGCTGTAATTTTTACAGAAAGGAGCTGTGGTGGCACTTGGCTGCTAACCAGAAGGTCAGGAGTTCTAACCCACCACCAGCTCCGTGGGAGAAAGGTGTGGCAGTCTGCTTCTGTGAAGATTTTTAGCCTTGGAAACCCTATGGGCAGATCTCTGTCCTATAGGGTTGTTATGAGGCAGAATTGACTCAGCAGCAACGGATTTGGTGTTTTTTGTTTTGTTTTGTTTGTTTAATATTTACGGAAGCAGATTCAGAACTTTTTCCCACAGAGCTGCTGGGTAGGTTCAAAGCACCAAACTTATGGTTAATAGCTGAGCACTTAGCCAGGGCTCCTTAAAAACAAATTACTGAATCCAAAACTTAGCCACTCTCTATCTGGTAAGAGTTTTCTGAATTTATTGTGCTACTTAGAAAAAATTCAGGAAATTGCAATAAAAATAACAATGGTCAACCACCTTTAGAAACAGACTTAACTGCTGTAAACCCAACCTACACCCAGCCTTCCTTCAGCACTAACCCGTGTAACTCTCCACCATCACCCTTACCTCAAATCAAATATTTCTTTACAGGATGTTGTGGTGGGGAGGAAGGGGAAAAACTGATGAATTCCCAATATACAGTCTGCCTTTTAATAAAAACATGCCAATGTTCTCAAAAATTTTGAGGATGGCAAAGTCAAGTTCTGCATCATAATTCTCACTTTATTTTCAATGTTATTTTTGAAATGATTTATTCACTGGGTACTTCAGGAATTTGAGAGAAATATCTTCTCTCACCAAAACTACTCTGTGTTCCTCTGACTGGGAAGAGATTCTTTCACAAGGATTGTCAAACTTCTGGGTTGGAAAAAACCTAAGTGGTCATCTGTTCATCTGCCCACACAGCCTGATATATTGCTAAATACTGACTTGGAGCATAGTATGTGTATGTGTCTATCCAGGTGTCATCTCACTAGTGGCTTACCTTCTCCAATGCGTCATTCAGGGTATCCATTGTCTGTATTTTGGCAACATTTGCAATGACACTGTGAAGATGAAAAGAAACGTCTTAGGGCTTTAAGACTTTCCCGCTGAGGAGGCTAATTGATTTATACAGAGGGCTGTGTACTGAGCCTTTAAGCTTGCCCACTGCTTGGGCAACATCAACCAATAAAACCAGTAGCTGCTGAGCCAATTTTGACTCATCATGACCCCATGTGTGTCAGAGTAGAACTGTGCTCCACAGGGTGTTCAGTGGCTGATTTTTTGGAAGTAGATTGTCAGACCTTTCTTCCGAGGCATTTTGGGTAGGCTTGAACCTCCAACCTTTCCATTAGCAGCCAAGTGTTTAGCTATTTGCACCATCTGGGGACTCTTGGCAATATCTAGAAGACAAAAATATCCCACTTCTTTGTGTCCAGAAGCTACAAACTTTGCAGGCCAAGTTATTATTATTATTTTTAACTTTCCATTCAAGTATAATATACACGCAGAAAAATACACATATAGGAAATGGTTTATCTGGTGAATATCCGTCAAACTGAACCCACTAGTAAAACCAGCACACAGATTATGAACAGAAGACAGCCAGCACCTCCCTTTGTGCTCCCCACCCCCCCCAAGGATAATCCCTTACCTTGATTTATAGCCCCCTAGATAAATTCTGACCAGTTTGTACTTCATGTAATGAATCATACAGCATATACTCTTTCATGTCTGCCTACTTTCAAGGTATTTTGCAGGAGAATTGCAATCAAGTAATTCGATTACTCAATGAGTTTCTCGAAGGGAAATCTGCACTTGGCATATTCTTTTGTTGTGGATGGTTTGTGTTGGTTGGTGGAAATAGTTATAAGGAAATAGATATAGATTGATGATGCTTAGAAATTTATTTTCTATGACATAATTTTAAAAAGCAATGCTCCAAGAAGACGTAATGAGAGGTGTTAGTCAATGAAAATGAAGTACTTATATCTTGTGCACATGCCTGCACTGGAGATATAAGGAGCAGAAGTGGATTTACAGGAAGCTAACGAGGCTTAAACTTCAAGGACCCAGTGCATCTGCCTCTTCAAGGACCTGGGACCCAGCAACTGCATATATACAATTTTGTATTATTTTTATTTAAAATGGTCCCCAAATTGTATAAGCTTCAGACTCTACATAACTTGTCCCTGTCACTGGTAAGGACAGACAGAGAGCTATTTTTATTTATTTATTTTTTTTACTGTGATTTGGGTGAAAATTTACAGAGCAAATACACTTTCCATACAGCAGTTCACATACACTTTGTCTCATGACATTGACCACAATTTAGCACAATGCAACATCTCCCCTCCCACTTCCTCCCGATAGCTACCTCTTCCCTGTGTCCATCCCTCTATGCACTCCTACCCCCTGAGCTGTCTCCCTGTGCCTGAACAGCCCTTCTTTCTCTAATGCTTGTTCTCAGAGAGCTATTTCTTATTATTTAAATTCTATAGTAGTCCAATTCCCATCTTTTCACAATAATTAGGAAACAGTTGAGATCTTTAAAAGGGTTCCAACCCCCACATTATTACTTTCTACCTGATTCCTCTACTCGAATAGTTCAGCTGATTTTAGAATTATTATTAAGTCCTTATTTTCCTGAGGTCCAGAGAAATGAACGTCTTGTCCAACAACTTATTTCAGATTGCAAGTCAAATTAAATGCACAATTCAATGTGACTCTTCAGTTCCTGAGCCCCTGGCCCAAGCATATTAACTTGTGCCACAATCAACAGGATGTAGGCTTGAGTCAGGTTTGAGATTCGGAGCAAGTTTTAGAAATTAACCAGCTTTCCCTTTGGACCTGGAATCGAACTCACTCCTGTGGTTTAACTCTCAGCCAAACAGTTGACAGGTCTGCAAGCTGAACAATTACACCAGGGAGATGCACTCTTTAGAACAATCAATGGTGGGAGATCAGAAGGGCAGCATTTGCTCTGGGAGAAAGCTCAGAGGGTGGGAATGCATAGAAAAGAAGGTCACAGGGAAAAGTTTGCCACAGGAAGGAAGTGGAAGAGAGCTGTTAGATTGTGTGGATTGTAATCAATGTCATGAAACAAAATGTGTATGAACTGTTGACTGAAAAATGAATCTGCTTTGTAAAATTTCACCCAAATCATAATAAAAAGTTTAAAAAATAAGAAAAGAAATAAATTAACCAGCTTTCAGTTCAACCACAGTCTGGGAACCTTTACAGAACATATTCTCTATTCCAGAAACTGTGCTAGATGCTGGGTCACAAAATAAGTAAGATGGTGAAAGGCACTCTTGAGGACTTGTAGCTTCACTTTCATTATGTGATTGTATTTCATTATTTTCTGACATCAGAAGAAACAAATGACTTACTTCTAAAGGAGCAAATATGTATTTTATTTTAAAGTGGAGGGGGAAAACTCTCAAGAAATGTCCTCCCCAGAAATTGGGAAGAATGCTTTAAAAGTGATTTAAGAAATTCCACAGCAATTGTTCTAACTTAACTTAATCTTGCCACTTCACTAGCTCTGGTGGCCTACTGCCTAAGGCATTTGACTGCTAACCAGAGGCTGGCAGTTCAAACTCACCAGCCACTCCTTGGAAGAAAAACTGGGCAATCTACTTTCATAGATAGGAGGTACCTTGTTGTTGTTGTTGTTATTTGCCTTTGAGTTGGCCCCGACTCATAGTGACCCCCTCCTTGGGTTTCCGAGGCAGTATCACTACGGAAGTAGGATTGCCCAACCTTCCTTCTGAGGAGTGGCTGGTGGGTTTGAACCGCCAACCTTCTGGTTAGCAGTCAAGTGCCTTAGGCACTATGCTACCAGAGCTCCCAGGAGGTACCTAGAGGTCCTTTAATGGACTCATATCGAGTCACTTATCACCTAATCTGTCAAAACCATCTTGAAATTAACAGTCTCTGAAATGGGCCTCATTGAACTACTTGGAGGAACTAGTTCCTTTTGTTTCTTTCTTTTCAAAAGCACTCCTTTCCTTAACTTGGATTTACAGTGGGTAGGCCATGTGTGCGCAGGATCCAGCCACTCTAAGACCTCCTCAGTGCAGTGTGTCAAGGTTATGGCAGAAGGAATAAGGAGAAACCAGCTTCCGTGTCTATATATGGGCCTTCCGCTGTGCCAAATATAGTGGCCATTACTTTTTAAATAATTGAGTGATGAATTTAAAACCAAAAAGGCATTTATTTTTAATTCAGGAGATTTGCTTTGCAGAAAGCACATTAAGAAAACAGGGCAAGACCAGGAACAACATTTTAAAGACTAATCTGAAAATAGGGCATAGGGACGTGCGTCAGGTTTGGATGCATTTAGAACCGCATGTTTTAAGTGGAAAGCAGAGGGGTGGGCACAGAGAAGAGGAGGCTAGGTGGTGGGGGGTGGTGATGGGGAGGGTAGTGAGAAAGCGCTCCAGACTGTTAGCATCTTTCAACCAAGTGCCCTTTTCCCTTTCAGCCCAGGTCATCACCAATCATCACCCTCACCTCCACTCCCACCCCACTCTCTGCCAGCTGTCTCCAACCTCAGATGACTCAACAACTCTCTGCCTGGTTAGCAAATGCATCGGAGACCTTGGTTTGCTCTAAAACAGTAAGGCCTCTGATTTCTGGAAACAGTCACTAAACACTCCTCAAGGTGAACCAGAAGAAATTTAGCAGTACATACCTGGTTTTCTCTAATCCGTGTTTTTTGGTATGTCTCTCCAAGATTCCAATTTCTTGTTTTTTTGAAATTCGCATTCCTCCAGCTTTAACTGTAAACAAGCATCAACAGAACAGTCGTTTTTGGAACAGCAAGAGAAGGTTGGCTTTGGTTTGTAAGGTATGAATTTTGATTGGAAAAGAATTTTAGAGTTTATTTTTTAAAAATTGCTTTTAAACTTGTATCTAAAACAACACAGTAAAAAACTATCCTGAAACACCATGACAAAAGCAAAAATTATTTTGGAGGGCAAACAATGGGTGGGAAAGGCTGAGGCCTACTTTATGCTTCTCTGTATCTGTGAGAGGCCTGTTTTTTTTGCCATCCTGTGTAGTGAAAGTGACTCAGACTGAAGGTGACCTCATGTGTTACAGAGAGGAACTATTCCACAGGGTTTTCTTGGCTATCATCTTTACAAAAGCAGATTACCAGGCATTTTCTTCCATGGTTCCACCGGGTGGGTTTGAACCACTAATCTTTTGGTTTCCTTACTACTGTTGTTGTTGTTGTTATGTGCCCTCGAGTAGGACCCGACTCATAGTGACCCCTCCTTGGGTTTCTGAGGCAGTATCACTACGGAAGTAGATTGCCCCATCTTCCTTCTGAGGAGTTGCTGGTGGGTTTGAACCACCAGCCCTCTGGTTAGCAGTCCAGTGCCGTAGGCACTATACTACCAGAGGTCCCACAACCGTTTGCACCACCCAGGGACCTTGAGAGAGGGGCATAATGAAGCTGAAAAAAAGCAGCCCTTCTTTGAGGGAGAAGACTAGGCATTTTACTGAAAAAGATTTTTTCTTTTTATCCAATCAATTACTTTTTACATGATAACAAATAACAATTACAATGTGACTCTTCTGTTTTCCCACAAGATTAAAGTTTGTGCATGGCTTGCACTTTTTCTTCCCCCCAATCAAAGCTTTCCAAAGCCAGATCCTGAGATAATGAGCCAAAAGTCAGGACACGCACTGATGACAGGCATTTAATTCAGCAGAAATGTCTTCAATCCCATGACATATCCACCTTCCATTCTAGACTCCAAACTTCAGATGTTGACCAAGCTCAAATGTTCTAATGAGTAATTAAACTACATTAAAAATCCTGCCAGTCAAGAGATCAATTAGGGTTAATTAGGCTACAGATGACCTAACAGCAATTGAAGTGTTTAGCAATGTCAGATGAAATCAATTTTTGAAAAGGAACAGCCTATTTCAAATTGCAAGTCAAATCAAATACTTTTTTCTAGCTCCCAGGAAATTTGCACATCGAAAATCTGACAAGCTTAAATGAGAAAAAGCTAAATGGACATTGATTTGTTTGAACCTGTTAACTCTTTTTATGGATATGTCAGATTGGCAATTTTCTAAAACTACCTCCAATAACATGAAACTACCTCTTGTTCTCTCTCTCAATGCCTGTGTGAATTGACTACACCATTGTTCTTTTACAAATATTATTTAATTATTTTTTTAATTGCTAATACATATATAAGGCACACATTTAAAAAAACATGTATATTCAGGATATGGATGTATGTATGTATGTACACACACACACACACACATGTATTCAAAATATATGCTTAAGTGACAAAATAAGCTACAAAACAATGTGTATCTTAGGCTACCTTTTTTTTTTTTTCCACTTTTTTTTTTATTGTGATTTGGGTGGAAGTTTACAGAGCAAATTCACTTTCCATACAGCAGTTCACACTGTATGGAATGTTCACAATGTCTCATGACATTGACTACAATTTACCCCAATGCAACAGCTCCCCTCCCACTTTCTCCCAAAAGTTACCTCTTCCCTATGTCCATCCCTCCACGCACTCCTGCCTCCTGAGCTATCTCCCTGTGCATAAACAGCCCTTCTTTCTTCCATGATTGTTCTCTCCAAGGAGTGTATCTACCTCAGGTAAATGTTCAACTCATATGCCTGTCTTTTGTTTGGCTGGAAGCCACAGGTGTGGGTTCAATTCCAGACATGAAGGGCAGCTAGGGGCCATAGTCTCAGTGGTTTCACCAGGCTCTATCGAACCAGCAAACCTGATCCCTCCCTCTTTTTTTTTTTTCAAACGATTTTGAGTTTTGTTCTACATTGTTCTCCCTCTCTATCCAGGATCTCCTTTCTATTCCAATATTCTTCAAGGTTCCATTCAAGAAAGTTGTTGGATTTATCAATTGATTTCTGGGCATCCATAGAGATGAACAGGAGCTCTGCTAGCATAGTGCCTAAGGCACCTGACTGCTAACCAGAAGGCTGGCAGTTCAAACCCACCAGCCACTCCTCGGAAGGAAGGTTGGGCAATCTACTTCCATAGTGATACTGCCTCAGCAACCCAAAGAGGAGTCGCTATGTGTCGGGGCCGACTCGATGGCACACAACAACAACAATAGAGATGAACATGTTGTTCTTTTCCTTTGTTCATTAATGTGGTGTATACATTGATTGATTTTCTAATGTTGAACCATCCTTGCATTCATGGAATAAATCCTACTTGGTCATGGTATACAACTAACTCTTTTAATATGCTATTGGATTCTACTCACTGGTACTGAGGATTTTTGCATCTATATTCATAAAAAATACTGACTTATAGTTTTCTTTTTTGTGGTGTCTTTGTTTAGGTTAGGTATGAGGTTTATGTTTGGTTCATAGAATGAATTAGGGAGTACTCCTTCCTTCTCTATTTTTTTAGAAGAGTTTAAACAGTATTGGTGCCAATTCTTGTCTAAACGTTTGGTAGAATTCCTCGGTGAAGCCATCTGGTCCAGGACTTTTTTCTTGGGAAGTTTTTGATCACTGATGTGATCTCTTTACTTGTTATGGGTCTGTTGAGACTTTCTCTTTCCTCTTGAGTCCACTTGGGTAGTTTGTGTGCTTCTAAAAATTTTTCCATTTCATCTAGGTTATCTAGGTTTTTTTTTTTTTTGCCATGTAGTTGCTTACAATATTCTTTCATAATTCTCTTTATCTCTAACAAGTCAGTTGTAATGTCACCTCTTTCATTTTTTATTTTAGTTATTTGCATCTTTTCTCTTCTTTGTCAGTCTAGCTAGAGGTTTGTCAATTTTACTGATATTTTTCGAAGAACCAACTTCTGGTATTATTGATTCTCTCTATTGTTTTTCTGTTATGAATTTTTTATTTCCACTCTAATCTTTGCTATGTCCTTTCTTCTGGTAAGTTTAGACTTAGTTTGCTCTTCTCTTTCTAATTCCTGGAGTTGTCAAGTTAGGTTCTTAGTTTTTAGATAGTTTTTCTTTTTTATACAGGCATTTATTGCTATAAGTTTCCTCTGAGTACTGCCTCCACCACATCCCGTAAGTTTTGGTATCTTGTGCTTCCATTTATTTGACTCTAAAAAATTTGTTTTCTCTTTTGACTTCTTCCTTGACTTATTGGTAGTTTAATAGTATATGTTTAATTTCCATATTTTTGTGTATTTTTCAGTTGGTCTCTTTCCCCATTATTGATGCTTAGCTTCACTTTGTATGATTTCAATCTATTTAAATTTATCAAAACTTGCTTTGTGGCCTAAAATGTAGTCTATTCTGGAGAATGATCCATGTACACTGGCATAGGATGTATATTGTGCTGTTTAGGGGTAGAGTGTTCTATTTATGTCTGTTAAGTCTAGTTGGTTTATAGTGCAAGTCAGGTCCTCTTTTTCCTTGTTGATCTTCTTTCTAGATGTTCTATCCAGCATTGAAAGTGGAGTATTGTATTACTATCTGTTTCTCAAGGAGCACGGGTGGTATAATGCTTAAAGAATTGGGCTGCTAAACAAATCATCTACAGTTCAAACCCATCAGCCACTCCATGGTAGAAAGATGAGGCAGTCTGCTTCCGTAAAGATTTATAGCCTTAGAAATCCTATGGAGCAGTTTTATTCTGCCCTAAAGGATCACTGTGAATTGGAATTGATTCTATGGCAGTGGGTATCCATTTCTCCACAGTCAACACCCACGGAAGCAGGAGTCAAGAAATCAAACAACCTATTGCATTGGGCAAATCTTCTGCAAAGACCTCTCTAAAGTGTTAAAGAGCAAAGAGTCACCTTGAAGGCTAAAGTGTGCTGGACCTGAACCATTGTCTTTTCAGTAGCCTCAGATGCATGTGAGAGCTAGAGAATGAATATGCAAAACCACAGAAGAACTGATGCATTTAAGTTGTAGTGTTAGCAAACAATATTGAATGTGCCATGGACTGCTAGAGGAACAATCAAGTCTATTTTGGAGGAAGTACAGTGAAAATGCTCCTTAGAAGCGAGAATGGCCAGACTTCATCTCTCGTACTTTGCTTGTCAGAAAGGGACAAATCCCTGGAGGAGGATATCATGCTTGGTAAAGTAAAGAGTCAACAAAAAGGGGTACACCTTCAACAAGATGGATTGACACAGTGGCTGCAATGATTAGCTCAAGCATAGCAACGGTTGTAAGGATGGTGTAGGATCATTCTGTTCTAGGGTGGCTATGAATGGGAACCAACTCAACAGCACCTAACAACAAAAACAGTATAGTTGCACATGGGCAAAATTATGTATATAAAAGAATATTCATTGTAGCATTTTTTTGTGATACCAATAGATTAGAAATACCAGACTTGTCCAACATTAGGGAATTGGCTAAGTAAAAACAGACTGTTCATATAGTGTAATTTTAAAGCAGATGTTAAAAGGAGATGTATATGTATGTGTATGTGTGTATATGTATAAAATCCAAAACCAAACTCACTGCCATCGAGTCAATTCCAACTCATAACAGCCCCCATTGGGTTTCTGAAGTGGTAGATCTTTATGGAGGTAGATTACCCCATCTTCCTTCTGCAGAGTGGCTGATGTATTTGAACTGCCAACCTTCTGGTTAGCAGTCAAATGCCTTAGGTACTGCACTACCAGAGCTCTTTATACATATATAAGGCACACAAGGTCTACAGTCTCTTTCCTATCTTTATTTCCTGGATGCCCAGTTCACGCTGTAGACACTGCCAATGTTACAAGTTTCCTATGAGTTAGGGTTCAGATACTCTAAGCATGTAATTATATATTGTTTT